CCCCAAAACCCCAAAACCCCAAAACCCCAAAACCCCGGCTAATCATGGTGAAGTTGACTACAATTTTATTTATTTATTGCCCACTGTGGATAAACCGTAATTGTTCAGATAAGCTATGTCTTCTAGAGCCAGACACCTTCTGGTAGTTTTAGAAGGGTGATCGTTCGAAATAGGCAGCGTAGGGAGGATTTTGGGTGATCTGTGTCTGGAAGTGGAGTATAGGCCGGAATGGAACTGCTGAGGATGGACTGAACGATTGATGCAGGATTTGGAAATCAGGGTGTTGTCTTTGTAGCGATAATACGGGTTTGCTGGGATTTTATTAACTTTGGAGTGAGTTTTATTTGATAAAGAGCATGTTGTCTCGCTTGCTATATACTAAGATTTTCTAATTACATTTATGAGAATCGCTGAATTTTCTATGAGGCATTGATCTATTAGTAAGGTTATATAAATCCATAAAATCATAAAAACCATTAAATCTCACCAGACTATCTCTATCATCTCTCCTGCTCCCCCCACTTTTACCCATCCAATCCTCCCTTCCCTACTAACCCCTCTATCTCCCACTCCGCCTGTATAAACCCTGGACTTACCGCATTTGTCTCGCACTACCAGTACTCTTTTGGGTGGTAGATGTGTCTGGAATTTTGGTGAAAATTTGGGCTTCATTGGGAGTGATTTGGAAAATTTTGGGCATGTTTTGGTGGCTTCTTCGGAGGGGGTGGATTGATTTGTGGGAAAGGTTTAAGGGAGATTTAGGAAGTTTTGTGGATGGAAGGAGGTTGATAGAGGGAGTCGGAATTTTGGAGTGGGAAGGCTTGCTTTTGTAGATTTCATTATGGTTTTCACAGGAACATAGATTCTTATTTTTTGCCATGAAAGGGTTCTCAGCAGCCTTACTTAAGAAGCTTCATGACCTAGTCTTAGCAAGTTCAAACTTCTTGTTCATCTCAGAAGGTGGCATCTTTTTCATCTGAATAGGATTCATTCTTTGTTGAGATTCAGCTGCTCTTGTGCAAATCTGGATAGGAGAAAACTCTTTAATTTTCGAGTTTGACAAATTTGTTAATGGCTTCTTAGCTTTTACGAAACAACTAGAGGGCTTGTTTTTCTTCCTTTTAAGATTGCTTTCAAGAAATTTAGTGAAATATTTGTATCGAGCGTCTTCTTTATCGCTTTCTGAGTCAGATATGGCCGAATCAGCTCGAGGAGATTCACTTATTGGCATACTTTTGATATCTATAAAACGGTAAGTATTTAGTAGGAATATTTAAGAATCTGATACTCTTACCTTTCAGAACCGAAACTACTTTTGTTATAACCCTATCATCCAGAGAAGGCTTTCTGCGATGTTGAGGAGGGAATTGAGAGCGCTTAGTGTTGCGTCCCATGTATCCATCCTGGAAGTCTTTGCCGAAACTCACAGAATCGATTTTTCAAATATTCTTCCTCCTCTTGTTGGAGACTTTCTTAGTATTAGTAGCATTTACTGTTTTGCATATCTGGCTTTTGAAGACACTCCACTCTGGCTTAAGACACATCATTGTCTTGAAGACTTCTTCATACTCTTTATACCTGGCTTTGTTCAAAATCCTCAGGGATTTCCTGAAGTCTCCGTTCTCTTTACAAATGAAGTTGGAAATTTTCTTCCAGTTGTTATAAATATATCCCAATTGGTTATTATTAGAAATTGGTTGTCTAGAATCTGAACTTGGTGAACAACTTTTGGGGTCTGGCTCGTTGAAGTTCATACACTTCTGCATATTGGAAGACTTGTTGTAAGGAAACAAAAACAGGTCAATTTTATCCTGAATCTCTTTACTAGGGAGGATTTCAAAATCCTTTAGCATGGCTTCTAACTCTAGTAAATTCATCTTTTCTTCGTCTGGTTTTGAGCTATTATTATTCAAATTTTCTTGAATGATGAACCTAAGTTATTAGAGAAGCTCAAGGCTGTTGCTTACTCTTCAACTTTAGAAACATTGAAGCGAATATTTGATCTTTTCACCTTGGGCTTGGGCTTTTGTTTAAAACGAGAAATTTTCTGCTTGGTTTTAATTTCATCAAGACGGATGTCTATGTTATTGATTAAATTTAATTCAAAATTTTGGAAGTTAAAACTCAACGAATGCATAATTTCTCTTAACTCAAAGAAATAAGATATTTTGAGAGACAGCCATCAAATGAATTTGTCTAATTAAGATTTTTGAAAATATTTACTAAGTGCTCTAAGAAGGTCAGCTCAGCAAACAGGCTTCTGAAGGACATCTTAAAGCAGTCCCTTTAGAGAAACTGAGTTTTTATGAAAAGATGTATTTGATAATTAGGTAAAAATTTTATTCAATATCTCTTTTAATCTCTTACTGTCTGGTAAAAGCTTTTTGGCTCTGGTTTCATCAATATCTGATCCATTACTTAGTTCAGAGAACTTTTTGCTTCTTAAAATCTTTGGAATTGCTGTGTTCAGAGTATTTAACTTAAACTATAGGAAATATAGTTATTAGAACAAGTCTATGGTTGTCTAAAAATACTTATTTGCTATTAAAATGATATATTTTAAGGCCTCGCTCTTCTCTTCATAGTAAATGTATGCAAGCATCATAAAATCCAAAGTACCCCAAATGTATTAGCAGGTGAAAATTAATGCAGCCAAAGTGACGTATTGCAAGGTGATAGTACTCATACGAATGAATATTAATAAGAATGCGAATCTTATGTGAAGTCTTTCTTATCAACAACTGTCATTTTGAAATTAATAATTGCATTATATCAAGCCTTCTTATAGTAAAGAATGTAAACTTTAACATAACTATAATTCAGAGATAATAATTTCTTGAAAAAGTATAATAGCTAGTGACTAATCAAAGCTAGCAAATGCTGCTATATTCATAATCACCATCTCTCCTGTCTATTTCCAACTCCTACATCTAAATCTCAAATCTCCTCTCTAACTTCCCTCTTCACTCCCATAATCCCTACTCCTCTGCCCAACCACCCACTTTAACCCCAATAGCCCCTCTCTTTCCTTTCTTTTCAGCTCTAAACTCTTTAAAATCCCTAAAATTACTGTTTTCTGCTAAATTTGTTACTTAAATAGCCATTGGCTTTAGAATGCCATACAGGTTAATTTAGATGAGAAGGTCACCAAAGTTAGGCTAGAGGGGGTTCTAGGTGTCAAGGGAGCGTTTAGAGATGAGTTTTGAGGTTTAAAGGGTTTTCGAGGAGCTAGATTTGAAGAAGAATGAGGTTAATTAGGGCAGAAATTTTCAAATTCTCGTTGTAGTAATCTGAATGCTACCATTTTCATCAAAATATTTCTAGACTTATAAACTCGCTTTGAGAGGGATTTTTGGGATTTTATAAACATTCTTGAGCTCATTGCTAGTTACTATTCTCTCTTTCACAGTTACAAGATAAAATTTTAGCTGCATTTGGAGTTTTCTATAAAATTACTCACCATTTGTATTTATATTTATAGAACTAAGCTAGAGGAGGTTTATAAGGGGTTTTGGGGTTTTGGGGTTTTGGGGTTTTGGGGTTTTGGGG